TCGCCCCTCCTCAACGGTTAAACTGTTCTTTGCCTGGGATCACAGGCATCCAGACCTTGGATCTGTGAGCTTCCAAGCAGCATTATTTCAGTTCTGCATCTCAAAATGTGATTCATTTTGGAGGTCATGCTTCCAGTGAGAGACCTCCACAGCGAGACACACAGAAAATGCACCTCTGGGGGGCGGGGGACACCCTGGGGGGCGGGGCCCGGGGGACACCCCGTGTTGGTGCTTTGGTCCCTTACACTAAGAAGAAGAGACATTGGCCGGGGGCAGGAACTTCAGGCGAGAGGGAGGCAGAGAGGGAGGCAGAGAGGGAGGCAGAGGGGGCGGCAGAGAGGGAGGCAGAGAGGGATGGCACGACTGCCACGGGGGATAGACGTAGAAAATTGGAAGCAATCAGAGAGCAAAAGAGCAGTGACAGGAAACAGATCCGGGGCTGAATCAGTAATGTCCCACAGCATAAATCAATTAAGCTTAGAATTTGACCACCTAGACAGCTTTTAGTGACTTTTTTTTGTTTTTGCAGTTGCTGGAAAATGCGTGACTGGGTACAAGAAGCGGAGATGAGTCATTTCAGGAACTGCAAGACAATTTAAAAATCTTCCCATGGAGAGGCAACAACAAGCCTGAACATCAACATTCTGACTGTTAGACAAATGTGAACAAATGAACACTACTGGTTCTGCTGAAACCCAATTATTACACCCGACCAATCTAAAAATGTACAACAATTTACTTAATTAAATTCCATAAGTCTGCATTGTACAGTAATTATTGTTGCTGTCAACTATAAACATGTGGTAGAAACATTAAAAACATATAAAAAATTTTCCCTGCATACTGTGAAGTTTTGATTGCTATTTGAACGCACTGAACCTCACTAGCCAGAAGGTAAACATAAAACTCTGGAATCCTCTCCAAAAGTAATTTCTAGAAAGACTCCTTTTACTAAAACTAATCTTTACGGAACCTCATATCTAAAAGGAATTTTAATTTTGTTCTGTACATAATTTCAGATGTAATTATTTCAGCTTTATCATTTTTTAAATTATTATTACAACAAGGAGCTTGATGGTGGATGAAGAAAGATGGATTAGTATTGGTAGTAGTTTTTGTATTATTAGCATTATTATTACGTAGCTTGGTGTCAGTTTCATCCAGTGCTTTACATTCATTTTTACTAAATACATTTAATTGGCTGGGTAGGCACCACACCACCTGCTGTGTAAACGACTTCGGTTTTTGCGGTCTCACTGGAAGACACTGCAGTGCTGGAACACATAGACCTAGACGTCTATGTGCTGGAACACATAGACCGCTCCAGAGTAAATTACATCCCATTTGCCTTGATGCCACCTTGACAGGAAGCCCAGTGGCCCAGGGCTCAAAGTAGGCAGAAGATCAAAGCTCAGCGACCCTTTGGAGCACAAACGGTCTTCCTCGTCAATTCCCTTTTTCATGAGCAGCAGTTGTGCAAGGAGTTCACTTTGAAAGCAATGATGACAAGCGCTTTTCACACAGAAGTGGGCCGACCTCTATAGTAAAATGGCCCTTTAACCTGCATCTGGATCTGTTCATCACTTAACTATAAACTATACCGAGGGATCCATAAAAGCACATGGAAAGTACAGGAAAATTTTACCTTATTTGAAAACAATTAGAAGTTGGCAAAATTACAACCTTTATGAAATGAGCACAGAAGATGAAGCTGACCATAGAAAGTCACATACACAAACATTTTTTACATTTCATTTAAATACTTCTACTTTTTTTTTTCCCAAACCAAGGTTCCATGCCTGAAACTGAAAAGTGCCAGAAACACTGGACAGGACAGCCTACACTGTACACCAAACACACCCCGACGCAGCCACTGAAGCACTGGACAGGACAGCCTACACTGTACACCAAACACACCCCGACGCAGCCACATGTGCACGACTCTCAGTCAAAAGAGGAAAAGAAATGGAAACCAGTGGCTCTGAAACTCAGAACGTCTCCATCTGAGTGTTTCACACGCAGCGGGACCATGCTCAGAGCCCCAGAGAGCTCCACTTGAGATCGTTGCCATGCAGCTAAATTATTTACACATCTCCATTGTATGAAGGACCTAACATTCTGTGCCCATTTGTGGCATATGCCTTTAAGCATAACGAATAAATCTTTTTTCATATAGATAAATTAGTCCAAGGTGTTCAGATTAATGAGAATGTCCAGATTACCTCAGGCGATTTCATGCTGAATTGCCTTCCATCAATCTTTCTTTCCATCCATCTTATTCTCTCCTCTTCGTGTCGACTGACCCACCCATGAAGTTCATGAGATATCCTTCAAAAGAGAGTGATTACACACCCAGTGACCAACTGAACATATACAGAATGAGTCAAGAGGTTCAGTTACTGTCCAACTAAGTGTCAGAATGTCCAAGATGCCTGAACGATTCTAACCGCGGTGTGATTAGTTGGGGACATATGCAGTGGCTCCAGCCTCACAGAGTGAGACACTTTGAGGTCAGAGTTTATGGAGCATGATGCAATAAACAAAAATAAGCCAGATATACTTTTCTCTTAATGAGAGAGGTCAGGGGCTAATGGTCAGCCTTGTTAAGGCCACAAGTGCAAAAATAACAGCTCAGTACAACAGAAGGGTGAAGAAAGACATCGGGAAATGCACAACTTTGCAGACAAAACAGGGACCTACCTGGTACTACTTAGGGGTACCTATAATACCGTCATGAGTTCACAGGAACAGGATAAACCTTCATAGATTTACTCTATGCTTTAGGTCTACTTTGACACTGTTGAAAATAATCATTTTTCATTTTTACGTGAAATGTCTGCATCTTTGAGCAGTTACTGCTTTTAGATCAAAAGGACCACAAACCAGTGGATAAATAGGATCTATCAAAGATGACCTGAGGGCTTAAACCCTTTGTTCATTGTCGGAATAAAATTAAAAGGAAATGGGCGGAGGACAAAACTACAGCTGAATTTCATCGCTTTTTTCTTTACACTCCACACTTGAAGATCTGCAGATTTTTGCACTTAGGTTGAAGCTGGCATGAAAATAGGTTAGTGGTAGGTGGTGCAGAGGTGAAGACAGTGCAGTACAGAAGCACAACTTCATACTAACTGTAGAGACTTGGTTCTGTTGACAGCTGGCTGGCAGGGCGGCGCGGGAAAGCGCTTTACCATCATCGGGGCTTTTTCATCTGACATGGAGTATACAGAGCTGGAGGGAGAAAGAAACAGGGTGGTGATTCTCACACAGCATAGATGCTCTTTCTGGAGCCAACACTTTTTTCAGGAACCAGGAACTTCTGTCACGTCACCACTGCAGGAACTCAAACTGATTTTAGTTCCCCAGAAGTACAGTAGTTCTGCAACCTTTTTTAAGTCCTGGAAGGTAGTTTTCTTTTGACCATGAACTACTGGAGTGGACCTTGTAGTGAAATAACTTACTGATTGGTTGACCACAAGCACCGATGCTAACTGGGAAGTTACATGGAAGTGCAGGGAAAAGTGACAAAAGCAGTGAAACAAAAACTGAGCAGATGCAATCGTTTTTGTATCTCAGTTACATTTAATGCATCTCCATATTCTGCATTGAAAAATTTGATTGATAACTGATATACTTTTGTCTAATATCGCAGGTTCCAGTGGCAAAACTTGCCAGTGTTTATTAGTGGAATAATGTTAAATCATTTTTATTCTGTGGATGACAATAGATCTATCTGTTGGCCAGATTTAATAATCATACAAATGCTCAGAACCAGGAAGGAGGTTCCTGAACTTTGTTGGGAAAGAGCCTCATGTTACTTTGCACACCAAACTTCCACGGCTCAAATAATACACATCCTCTGTATGTTTACCTTCCCACGTGCTGGGCTATTGTGTTAATGTATACAAAATCCCATAATGATCCCTCAAAAGAGCACCACCGCCCCCCTGCCCCCAACTGCAATGGAGGAAAACAGCATGCGATGCTTCTAAGGAACTCAATAGACCCCGACTTAAGACTGCTTCTCTGGGGACAGGGCCAACCCAGACTCCATCCAGCAGAAAAGAGTTTATCCTCTGAGGGCCTTTTGCATTCAAAAGAAATGTCATGACTCTTCTGAGACAATTTTTCCAATGAGCAGGCCTGATTAGAGTTCAGCTGACATCTGCAAACCTTGGAAGATGGACATGCAAACGGCCGAGCAATACTGTAAATAGAATCAGACACGATTTATTTTAGAATGGCCAACTTTCAATATGGAGGCAATTAAATGCATTCCAATTTGTAACATGCCAAAAAGATCAATAGCAAGAAATACACATGGAGATTAAGCAAGATTGCAGCAGGGGGAGACACATTTTTTAATATATGCTTTTTAAAGTTAAAAAAGGCACAAAACTACAAATTGTTCACTTACTGCTTAAAATTATCAATGCTAACCAAATCTTGATGTTATGCCATTTGGGCGCTTGTGAGGAACGTAGCAATCAGTAAGATAGTTGAATTGTGTGCAAGTCAAAAGTAAGGAAAGGTGACTGAAAGTTTGGGGATCATTATTACAACTAAAAACAAAAAGACCCGTAACACAGGAAAGCAGATGCTTTGTGACATGAAGAAGAACAGAGTAAGAAATGAGACCGCAAAGCATTGGAGATTTCAAAGTAACTGATTTTGCTTATTTCACCAAATTCCTTGATCGTCTCTTGCGTACCTCATTGAGGTCTCATTAACTGACCTGTTGTTTTAAAGGCCTTTTCTGGCTCACAAGGTTCAGGGCATTTAAATGCCAATATAGCCAAAGGCCCTTTGAACACCTGGGCTTATATTAAAATACCACTGAAAGACCCATATTACCCCCCAAATTAATTACACAATAATATACTCTTGAAATAGCTTGTAAGACTAATCACCATTAATCCACAAAGCTTATACAGTTCTGGGAAGTATGAGGTAGAGAAGACACCAGTCAGGACAGCAGGCCATTGCAGAACAGACACTCACACACACAATCACACGCTGTGAGTGACTCGGGGACACTCTGCCACTAGGGGAAAAGCCCCCCAACAGAGGAAAACGTGCAGAGTCCACACACACACAGCCAGGGGTGGGATTCACACTCACATTCGGGGGGTGTGAGGCCACAGTACTGCCCATTGAGCAGGGGAGTGGGAGAGGCAGGGATACACTGGCAGATTCAGCCGCTCCCCCAGCAAAGGGGCCCATATTTCTTCAGACTAAAAATACTACCCCAAGTAAGGGGTCCAAGGTAACATTTGGTCAGGCCCACTCAACCCCTTAAAAAAATAACAGTTATCCCAAAATCACGCCTAATCTGATTACATGTATTTAGTTCTGAATGTGTACAAAATGTTCTGTGAGGTAAAAGTAGCCAAAATGTGGAAATATCTGGAAATGACACGCAAGTAAACTGTGTTACATAATCTCCCATCTGGTCCAACCAATAACACAACATAAGGCTTCCCTTCAAATCTGTATAAAGTCTTGTTTCAATATATTTTTGGAGGCAAAAATTACACAAAAAATTTTCATATTTAAGGGCTGATAAAGTAAAATGATAAGTATCTAAGGAAATTAACCCTGCCTTAATTCATCCTTATAACATATTACAAATTCAATCAGTATCAGAAAGAGGTTTAGTCGCCATGCAAGTTCACACCTGGAAGGAATTTGTCTTTATTTAAAGGTTTCAGAGGAGGAATTATAGGGTTATGGGGTTATTTATGAAATATTCAGACCTCTACTCTACAAATAAGAGCAGAACTACTGCAGGATCCTTCAAAGTGAATAACAAGCTTACCTGTCAGGGCTACGGTCGCTCGGGGTGTCAGATGTTTCAGGGGTGGAGAAGCCCAACAGATGTCGACCATTATGAGTAGGACTGGCCGAACCTGAGAGCTTGGAGATATGTTCACCCTGATGCAGGCTGGGGGGGAGCAAAATATATCAAAATGGCTCAGGTGCAAACAGAATGTTATATACAGGTGCTCAAAACCTCAGACTGCAAACAAAACAGCAAAGAGCTGAGAAAGCATTACATATGAGGATCCAGTAAGGTCCTATTACACATGGCCTCAAAACACCTGTAATGGTCATTTAAACTCAGTAAATAGAACATGCTTCAGCAGAGTGCCTTTTTAAATCTCTCAATAAATCACAGGCTCATTTCACTTTTATAAATGTTTATATAACGAGAGACAAAAATGTTATTATACATATTAGTTACACGGTGGTTTTTGGGTCAATAAAGAATAAGCAAGCAATGTATTATAGCCTATAGACATGGGCAAATAGATATTTTATTTAACTGAATAACCAAAGCCATAGTGAGGGAGGTGAAGAAGATGAGGAAATATATAAACTCACTACACAGCAGGGTTAGGGTTTGTATTAAGAAATTATGGGATGCAAGCATGATTAAACAAACAGCGACAATGGTGAAGTAGGTAGAGGGTAGTTGCTTTAAGAACAGCGATACCGAATGAAAATAAGTACAATCTGGGAATACTTTGACAGAGAATGCCAATAGCCAGCAGCCTCAAGCAAAGCATTAAAAGAGGACAGGAAGCCCTTCCTTTTTCAAAACACAGAAAGTTAAATTCTTACCGAAAGGAGCAAATAATTCTCCAGATATTGTGAAACATTTAGTCAATCGAAGCTTGCTTTTTGGCACCGAATACTGGAGGTATTACTACACTACAGTTACACAATAACTTCATTTCAAAGATTGTCTATGGCACAGATGTTTCAGTACATTGATACATGTGACCTGTCCATAAAGCCCACCCCCTGTACAATAACAAGTAAGATTTAGTAAAAAATATATATATACCCATAAACCACTACAATGCAAACTGGGGGAGAATGAGCAGTGGGGCTGTTACACTGTAACACATCAGGGGACAAACAAGCCAGACCATTCTGTGGTTCCTCAAAACGCACATGGGATGTTAATTACACAGTGATTAAGCCTAATATTTAGGTAGTTTGTAAGGAGCTGTCCAGATCCCTAGAAATAAATACTGTCCACATTCTTCATCCCTCTACCATGATAAACGAAATAAATCTAGAATTATAAGGTTGCATAACGGAATTTGGTTGTATTAAATCAGTGTTTGCCTTGTGATCACTGTTGCGTTCCCCATTGGATATACAGATGAAGGTAACCAAAGTCAGGCAACATGCTTACCTCATTGGACCAACGCTCAGCGCAAGAAACAGCAGGACCACAAAGAGACACAGATTTCGGTGTTTGGGGGCACTTGACCTCAGAGTGGTATTCTAGGACATAAAATGAAATGTGATGCTCGATTTGTTTTGCTTTTTGAAAATGGCCCATTTGATTCCTCTAACATCTGGCACAATTAATTTTTGCCATTATATAGGACTAATTGTCAGTTGTCTGAACTGTTTATTTGTCATAAATAAATGGTAACATTGAGCTCTGGGTCCTTGGGAAGACAAAGGGGAAACTACAGTCAATGTTCTGATACGGCTACGCCTGGTTTCTGCTGAAGACCGAGTCTGCAGTCCACACCCTCACCTCATTCAAAAGACCCTCAAGCTGCTTCCTCAGGGTCCCATTCTCCGTTTTCAGCTTCTCGTTCTCAAACAGCGCCACCTGGAGTCTGGCCTCCAGCCCCATCAGGTACTCCTTCTTATTCTTTCGAGACAGAGATGCAGATTCACGGTTTCGTATCAGTCGCTGCTGCCTTGTTGCCTGGCAGAAGTCAAAAGAAGTCAACAAACATAGGTTTTATTTAATACAGAGCTACCACAATATCGGCACGCAGTGTAAGATACATAAAAATAAACATACACAACTACGTTGTTGGAATGCATAAGACAAGATAAATACAGAATTTTTTATAAAACATTCCATTAGCTTGTTATGAGACAAAATGAAAGCTTAAAAAACCTTAATGATTGAACAAAACTGGTCAGAGCTCTAGTCTTGTCACCTTGATAAATGGATTTTGTTATGATTGTTGATTAGATACATTTTGTTTAGATGTAGTTAATTATTATAAAGCCATCAATATAATTAAAGGTTATTAACCAGAATGAGCATTGGTGCAATGAGCAGCTCCCAGGGTGAACATGAAATCCACCTATCCATCACGCACATTCACTCACACACACACACACACACACACATGCACACAGTCGTGTAATCATATCTTTTTGAGGACCACTCATTCATTTCTATGGGAAAAATGCTAATGCTAACTATGAGAACCTTAACCTCTACCCAGCCCTAACCATAACCATAAGTAACCAGACAAAATACAGTTTTTGCATTTTTAGTTTTTTCATTGCAGTCACAGATTTTTATAAAATAGTTTTCCCATATGGGTACCAGGAAACTGGTCCCCATAAGGTAAAAAAAACAGGTATTCATCACGTTATGGGGACATTTGGTCCCCACAAGGTAAGGTATACCTGGATTACACACACACACACATACACACACACACAAGATCACACAATATGAAGACTTTCAAGGTGCCAATTTGCATAACTGCATATTTCTGGACTGCACAGTATCTGCAGAGAAACCTACACACACAAAGCTGTGGACAAAATGTGTTTCATTTAATTACAAAACACAGTAACTTGGGAAGATATGGGTCAGCACAGACTGCCACAATAATGACACAGGAGTGGCAGGCGTCCTGAGAAGATTCCATTGCTCTGTAGCATTTGCCATTGACGGGGGGGGGGGCCATTGCAGCCATATAGTCATTTACCACACGCCGCAGCCATAGCCCTCACAGCCTCCACAACAGGTGTGTCAGCCAAAGTGGAAAGAGTGATGGGGGAATCATAACAAATGTGCCATGAGCAGATATGATGTCATAATCACTACAGCATGTGTCTCGGCACTTCCTGCCAAGCCGCCCAATCCACTGCTCCATTCCCCAGCTCACTTTATCTGTGAATCCAGACATTTCTGTGCTAGGATCTAGTCTTTGAGAATCATTTAAAAAAATGTTTTATTGTAAGCAATTTTTGAGAAGGCTATTTAAGCGGGACCAAGTCAATGCAGGATGCTGAGTTCAATCATTTCCGCGATAAAATAAAAAATACTCCTGTTGACAAAATCGATGATTAAACAAATGATCTTGCTAAAGGCCAAAAATGTTCCACATTGCAGTGATCGAGCCAGAGACAATTAAGCTAACTTGGGATCTGGCTCACATTCCCAGTGAACAACATTTAGCAATGTGAGCCATGAAAAACTCAGCTTATCTTTTGTAAAATGCAGCCTAAAGTGCCTGGTATACAGTATGTTACCTCGCTGTAGCCTGTAGGTTGTGGACTGGAACATGGACTAGCTGTGGGGAGAGCTGCGACCGGGGTGTAGGAACCCCCCAATATTAATTTGGGTTCATTAATTTCCCATAATAAAGAGACTTTTGTATTTAAATGATTAAGTTCCCCCCCCCCCCCCATACCAAACTCTCTCCTAAGACTTTAAGCTGAGGATTGGGTTGAGAAACTGTAAAATAGTAACATTTAGTTACCCAGCCCTATTGTTTCTTTCGCATTCTTTATCACCTCATGTTTCAATATTGCCTGAATAATTTTGACATTGAAAAACGAAACTCCAGTAGGGTATTATAACTGATCAAGGAGCAGAAATATTGTCTAAGAATGGAAGTTTCGAATAGTTGCCTAAGAATTGTAGTTTCTGGAAGAATTAATCATTATTTGACAAAAAGGGGAAATGCAATAACAAAAAACGCATTTTCTTTTTAGTTACTCAACCAAGTAGGCAGTAACGTCATAATGCTACTATGGATAATGACTGACAGGTGTGAAGGTCTGACCAGCTGTGTTTTAGGGACATCCCTTACGGAAAGGATGGTTCCCTACTGAGCCGTTTTGTAATAATCCTGCAGAAGTATTTTGTTTCGAGCAGTTCCTTAGCTGGCATAAACAGCTTGTGCTGAATGATTTGGCAGTTGGTTTTTTTGTACAACTGTTACATCTGTTGCATTAACCAGGTTCAAAAAACATTTGACTTTAAAAACATTCAATTAAGCAATCAATGTTAATTAATTTTACAAATTCAGGAGCCTGTAGTGCACATACTGTAGATTCAACGATCTTTAATTGTTTCAGGTACACTTAGATTTGGATTGTACTTTGTAACCTGAATCATAATCAAAACAAGGTGGTTACTAGTATTAATACTCAAACTACGTTTTCTGTTAATAATTACGCATGGCATTCTGAGTTTTCCATTATAGTTTGGTGAATAACGTAATTAATAATTCCACCAAAAAGACTTGAACCAATATCCTAATCACAGCTAATCACACAACCATTTAATAATGACTATGTAACAACAAATAATACAGGTTATAATTTTTATCCTTGTTCATAAATTTAACATGACGCAGTTGGATTACTTGTGCTAATGATATACATAATATGCATAATAATTTTGTTTTAAATATACGAAAAAATAAGCCTATTAGCAAACTTTATTTCAGGGTAATGTCAAACGCTGTGTTTCATGAGGAAAACAAGAAAAGTAATAAAATAATAATAATAGTAATCATTTTGTCTGAAAAGAGTGGATACATTGAAAATGAGATTGTAAATACTTTCTTTAGCATGTTGCTGCTTTAAAAACAACAAAAGGACATACATTCACTAAATGTCAATACTGTTTTAATCTGAGGAAATTCTTAGAATTTAATTCAACCTAAAAACAGCTTCTACAGGAACCAGCATGGGACATTAAACAAGTGAAAAACTTGCAGCCTGCAATTAACGCGGCCAAAAGCTTTCAGAGTCCAGCTTCACCTAATTTACAGGGGCAGGCTATCTAACAACAGTCCATAACGTCTAATCGCTTCGGCGATTAAGTTATTTGGGTTCGACCCACAATGTTTTATTCAGTCTCCTAAGAAACCTTTTTGTGTCTGGGAGACCTGCCATTTTGAGGTCCTGGGAAAAAGACAACTGTTTAGTTACCAGACTCGAGAGTCTTTAAAGCCCACAATGGACATGTGGCACCTTACGCAATAACAGAAACATCCTACCCTCCCTGAAGACAGTCTAAATAAAGGAAGTCAAATTCTGTAAAATGGGAATCTATTCGCACACAACAGTCATTCCCATGACATAAAGCTAAAATAAAGCTTTATTTACATACACATTCTTCGGGTCAGTATTGAAAAACACTGACTGTATTAATGGGAAATTGTTTTAAAAATTTATATACACATAAACATTAATCATTCAGGTTAACTATGAGTATTTAGAGTTCTGAGCTGCAGCACTAATTGTGTAAATTCAGTGTGACAACTTGATTAAATGCGCGGCTCTGTAGAGATACTATCTATCTGTCACTGGAGAATACAAGCTCTCACAAGAATACAAAGCTTGGTTTATCTGTTTTAAGCCACAAATATCCAAATTTCATAGCCCCGTAAACTAAATCTGTACTTTTTATTTTAGGGCAAGCAAATGGATGAAGTATATTTGTTGATACTGGCATTCTCTTGCGTACATTTTTGTTTTTTAAAAAGCATGCAGGAATGTGGAACCCATGACAATTCTGAAATGATGCTAGTGGTCGGGTCCATTAGAAAAGAAATTTTACAAGAAATTATTCACTAGATATTTTGCTGGTATAATTAGCTGTAATTAGGATAAGCTGTTACATGCCTTTCTAACAGTTTCTGAAAAACATTATTTATAAAGAGAAGCCACTGATGGGGGCAGGGTGAGACTTGGAGGGCTAAGCCTCTGCGGCAGTGATCGGAAGGTCACCGGTTCAAGCCTGACCACATCTGCTGGTCCTTCAGCAAGGTCCTTAACCCCCAGCTCCCTGGGTGCTGTTGCGGGTGGCTGCCCTTCACAGCCAGCTTGCTCTCACATACAGAGGTATAAAGAGAATTTCCCCACAGGGACTAATAAAGTATCCATTATATTTAATTAACCAGTCAGCATCACACCCAACTTATAGAATACCAAATTGCTTCCCTAATTTGTTGTGGTTCCCTTACAGCGTTTGGATTGGACAGGTACCATAATTGTATATATACCATTAGTCCTCAACCATTATGTTATGCAAGATGGGGAAAAACAAACGCTAATAAAGAGAAACCCATCAAAAAAATGGCTAAAATCACCAGTCAATGTTTTTTTTACTTTATCACTCTGCATGAGGCAAGAAGAACAACATCCACAAACGCGATGCTGTAATTCAAATATAAGAAAATCTATGAGGCCTTTAAACGACTTAAAGGGGAAATGGCCAGCATTTACAGTGAGCCTTAACTACAAACTGACACCCCACTGCACTCCTGCAGACTCCATAAAGCCAAACTGTGCATCCGCTAGCTTGGCCATGAACTCGAGGCCTCTTCCAGCTCCTCAACAGCAGTCGCCGCGTCGCCTCACACACCCGCAGAGAATGCAGCTCTTTTCCTGCTGAGGCGTTTCGCTTTGGAATGTTAAGAGACAAAATGCATTAAAACAAATGGAAACGACACCAGGAATTCACTTAGCAAGCTGCCGGACTGCCAAGGGCAGGGAAGACGGCAGGGGGATGGCAGGAGTGAGGCAGCGCTGTCGGATTCGTCTGTAAGGACGTCCTCCAGCTAGCAGCGGGTTTAAAGGAATAAAAGCGAGAACCTCACCAGAGGCCACTTAATTATCACTCTGAAAACAAAAACCTCCTGCGGAAAGCTGTACTATACGACTCCAGTCGAAGCAGGCAGGTCATGGTGTCCATGGCCACCAAACAAATGACTGCTTAGCATCAAACCACAGCATGTCGCAATGCCTACTCCACAAGACAAATAAGCACATCATGGAATCCCCAGGAACTCTCTTTGTCGCCATGAAATCTGCAGTCCGACAAACATTTTCCTGGTAGAAAAGCTCAAGGGCACAAATCCGCTCATAGCTAAATCCAAATTGTAAAATTGATTTGGCTTCAGTAGATTACTGCTCTAAACTGCACAGTGCTGGTTTTTTTTTGTTTCTCACCTGTGTTTCACTTATTGTATTACCTACCAAAAACATGACACAAGTTCACTCCCCTCTTTAAAAGAAAAACAAAATGATTGTTTCCAATACCATCTGGCTGTCAGCTACAATTGAATTCGGATGGATCAAGGCATGGGAATCCACCCTTTGACTCACACCATATTGTTTGTGGCCGAACATTAGGAAAATTGATTATGTGGGTAGTTAGTTCGCTTACTTTCTGAGCAGAGGAGAACGCACTCAGGTCTGACTCCTCATTACATTTGCTGGCCCTGCCTGACGTTACAAAGTCATCCGTTCCTAACGACCGTGTTTTCTGCAGAAACTGTCACCCAGGCATGTATCCATGGAACATTCACGCTCTTGTATGCCAGCCATATTAACCCTCAAAACAAGGAGACTCAAGGCATTATAAGTAGATATTAATTCTTTCAACTATAATAAGGAATACAAAACCATTTCATTTGGAAGAATTGCTGGCCACACATTAAAAAAATCACTGCAGGGGGTTTTAAATGAAAAGCAGCATATTTTTCCCAATAACCTGACAGCTACAGAGGGAAGCATAATCAGCTATATCTACGAATTCACTCACAAAACACATGGCAAATGATTTACTGCTGTGTTCACATAGCATGTCAGTATTAAACCTCCCTTATTTATGATTCTGTTACATTGCCCAGGCCTTTTAAGTTTTTAAGGTATGGATTTTAAGCTGTGTTGTAGATATATAAAAGTAAAAAAAACTTGGCCATATGGTTTTGGTTCAGCTTAGTTCCTAGAACAACATGAACATAGCCTTTGAATTTTTTAATTTTAAGGTTAAAGTGAATTCAGATGTGTGAGGATGTTGCTTTTTTTGAAGATGTTGCATTTCACCATTTTCCCAGAACCAGAACCAGATATTTTACATTTCCTTCATGCTACTGTTGTCACACACTTACTCACACACTTACACACGCACACACACACGCACACACATACGCACACTTGGCAGTCATTAACACAATTAGCTATGTAACATTTACGGGGATTTACAGTAACACGACTTGCATCCTCTCTGGTTCCTGGATTCCGCAAGGATGATGTCATAATGGGTGGAGTCTCTGCCTGGAAGGCCCGCCCCCCTGGGAGGGCCACTGGGTCACGGGTTGTCGCCAGTGTTGTCACCACTCGGACCGGCATGTGATTCGTGGGCGGGGCTGACATCACCTGAGGACACATCTGGACCACCTGGGCCGGCTGCGATAGCATCACCGCATGTCCTGGGAAGAGACGAGATGACTACAGTATAATGATGAGTTTAAGTATCCTCAGGGACAACAGGTTTAAGCTCAAGATCCACTATGCATAACCAGATATACATTTTGGCCACATGCCACATTTATGGTATTAAACTGACCTCAAAAAGCAAAAAAGACGGCACCCCCCAGCTTCAAGACACAAAGCTAGAGGGATTGTTTTTCATCCATGTGGAAAGACTGATGCTGTTCTTTAACCCAACGTAACTAGGTTTGGGTCAAGACAACAGGGAGCGTAGGAGAATTAAAGGTAATGAAGAAAATTCTGTGAAATGCGCCCATAATCACTTCATTAACACTACAGGAGAGGAGGGGGGGGGGGGGTGACAAAACAAAAGGATTTCTGTTTTTTTATTGTGTGCTTCATAAACAGAGCCAAGTTCTGGTCAAGAGCAGCTTGACCGAGCTGAAAAAGGGCCCTCGCTCAGCATGGAAGCCCAGTCTGGGCAGAAAACAAAACAAAAAAGATAATGGCGATTGTAGGAAAGGGACCGGGCTGTGCCCATGGTGACGGAAGGTATGTCATATCCCAGGCGGCCTGGGAGGAGTCAGCTTTGTGTTGCGAGAGAAAGCACTGAGTAAGTCTTTTTGGATGGAAAGAGGAGATTCCTATCCGGACCGGAGGGAGGACCACGCTAACAATAAGGACAGCGTGGATTTCTGCCTGACCGGACAGGGAGAGGCCACCTTTGTTTTGCCAGAGATTGTTTGATTTGACCAGCAAAGCCACACAAATCGTTATTAGGTCATTCATGTACCAAACCCCAACATAAAACAAAAGGTGCCGAAAGGGTCTGATGACGGATGAATATCTGCGGTTTGTTTTCCCCAGTTTCTCCTACAACGATTACTCTGCTGTTTGCCGGGGATACAAGTGACCCAGGGAGTTGATGAAAACTAGCCAAGCACTGGTTATGATCAAAAGGTTTAAAACTGTGTTTACAGAAAGGCATCAACAACCCATTAATCAAATGACATATGCAGTGTGTGTCATAACACAGTAAGTACTTATACCTAGTATAATATCTAGTACTTAGTACATGAATATCTACTTACCAAAGTGCAATATACTTATTAAATACATTAAAGAGAACAGTAAGACCTTAAACCCCTAAAACCCATAAAACAATTTAAGAATGATTATATAAATGGAGTCTGGTTTACCGTGCTGCCTGATAAATTAAAATTAAAGTTTTTCCTCACACTTTTATTATATTACTCAGAAGTCCGTTTAACCTGAAATGTTGCAGTGACCCGTCCGGTAAACTAATAATCTAACACCTACGTGCAAGTAAACTCCAACAAGTTCTGCTAAGCGAATGGCCAGCAAAAATACTGATTTTTGAGATACCTAAAAACATGCTGAAAGGAAACTGTGATTACTGCCAGTGCTGAAAGGAAACAATGTTTTGGATTTTCCATAAATTACAAAATTAGTCATATTTTTGTAATTGCACTGGTTCAGCTGGCAGTTGATTGAGATCCAACTGAGAAAACAGAAGAGAAGCGACATCTGCTGGCTTGGTTCTGAAGAGCAGCTACTTTTTTAAAACTACTTTTTAAAACAGAACCAGGGCAAAATTGGAAAATATAAGTGAACATGCATCCTTGCAGAAACTAACGACCTCGTTCGATTTTAGAAAGCTGCAGAACAACAAGGAGCACCATAATATATATTCAGAAGACTCTAACAATAGTAACTGATAATATATTTATGAAGAATCAGCTACTTCTGACTAACATCACAGAGAGTAAAATATGGATCTACAACAGTTGAATGTTTCTTGCTCATGTCCATCACACAGACTGACTCTTTGTTCTATCAGTTCATATACATCCATCCATCCATCCATCCATCCATTTCTTTAACTGCTTATCCTGTTCAGGGTTGTGGGGGGTCCGGTTGGGGTGCCAGTCCATCGTAGGGTGCATTTACATGCCATTCACTCACACGTGCCCAGTCATATACAGCTTTAGTAAATTACTTTTTCAAAACAAAACTTTTTCATCTTTTGGAACAATCCTATTTTCTATCGGAATTATTAAGTAAATGCAGATACTAAATACTAAAACAATGAAAACCAACAGAATTTTTAGTGTTTGCAAAGTAATTTTTATTTTAATTTGAATGTATAGGACGCAGTAACGCAATAGCTCCATGAGGTGGCAGGAGATCTTACCAGTCAGGCAGGCCGGCTGTGCTGCCACAGGGGGCAGTGTGGTCACAGGCGCCGCCTGCAGTGTATGGATCACAAAGGTCTTGGGCTGGAGAGGAGCAGTGACTCGGGGCTCTGGGATATCGCTGATGACAGTCTCAAGTGGCAGGGCCACCTTTGGGGCCAGTGGAACAGGAGGCTTCGATGGTTCTGCGGATCTGACTTTCAAGTCAAAAATAAATGCAAAATTAAATTGTACTGCCTTTTTGGGGGGGAAATGCATTAAAGAAACAGTAAAGATAATGCAGCTGTTACAAAGTATAAGTTACCTTCTTCAATCAGAAAACTAACATTAAAGGTAGGATAAAAAGTTAGCTGCCAAATGATAGTGATATTTTTAACAAAAAGCCAATTCTTGAAAAAGATTGCAAGAAAGGAGTGCGCACATCAAATCTGCCAATCAGCGCGAGCCCAGCAGAGGCACCCTCACCTCTGGTAGCCCGCTTGGTATGTCTCTGCTGCATGTCCTCTGGCGTGACGCCAGAACAGCTACTGGACACAGGGAACATCTGGGACTGGGGGACCTGGCTCTCGCCCTGCAGAGGGTCACCAGCCTCAGATCATGTGACTTTAATATGACTGGAGGCCACCAGGCCTGAAGCATGCTTTACCAATTAACTCACTTCTACACATGTGCCGTTCATTGCAATTATAAACTCAGCATGATCATTTTCATGCAAAAAAAAAAAAAAACGCACAGAGTGTCATCGGGCAGATTGCAGTTTTAACTTCCTGTGATGGGGCGTAAATATACTGGCTCCAAAATTATGTTAATACCAACTGATTTATCCACACCCTTTTAATAATGATGCACATCTCAAATGGTTTGTGGGTAATTAGTTTGATGATGTGTTGCAGGGTGATTAAGCTGTTAATCAACATGCAGAATTTTTAATTACTCACTTGGGCCCCAGGGATATGGAGGCTGTTCCCCGTCCTACTGCCCCCACCCCCACCCCCCGCAGCTGAGCAGCAGCTGGTACGGGCTGCGGTTGCTCACAACAGCTCCATCTGGGATGTGCTGGGGGGGGGGGGGGGGGGTTCTACTTACATGCAGGCTGTGGGGAGACAGAGACCCCGCTGGGCTGGGGGTAGAGACGGGGCTTGGCCTAGCACATGAGGCTAGAGAGTCTATGGCCATTCCTGCATCTGTAATAACGGTGCCAAGATGTTAAATATAGCTGCTAATCATACCCCTCCATTTTACCAATATCTAGGTCAGGAGAGCTGGGAAATTGGGTACCAATAATCTCTAAAAGTGTAATAAGTTCCATGTCTTAAGTATTATTTTGGGTGTAAAGAATTAATTCTAACTAATAATAACACACAGCTCATAATGATTGACCTTCAGTTAAATTGAACTAAATTTAAATATATTCTTCACAGACACTGGTATAAGCCTGGCACAGCAAAAAATCTGTCTTCCAGGACTCACTTCTGTATCATCAGTAGGTTATTGGCTGCCTGATGTGTTGCTGTATTAAGAAGGATAAAGTTAAGCCCTGCTTTCTCAAGAATGAGACTGTAAGAATTACTCAGAGGCGCACAATAAAACCTCTCATTTAGATAACGCAGAGGACGTGTTTATCATTTTCACATTTGTCTTATTTCTCAAATTTGCATAAATACTTTGGTATAAATTTACAAAGAAAGAAGGAAAAATGTGAGCCAGTTGCTGTGTTCTCCTGCGCATGTCTGAGAATTATAATGATTGGAAAAGTTTAAGGATGTATGAAGTAACTGCACACGTGAAAGTGACAAAGTCAGTTGACAATGTGCAGAAACTGGAATATTTCGATGGAAACATCATCGTGGTCATGGAACTGGGGGCCATACAAAAAGGGCCAACGTACAACAGATGTTTCAGGCCTAAAAACAGCACTGCAGCTGCCTGGAAGCAGGCAAGACCCTTTCAGCTTCAAGGTTACCATCCATGGGGTCAACCTACCTGTGTTACAGCTGCTGCTCTTCATATAAAGAGGGTTACAGTCCCCAAAATGAAAATCAATATCAAAGTCCAGTTCCTCAGTGTCACCATCCTATAGGAGCAAATAGGCCCCAGTTATCAATTTGTCCTCAACAACATTTTCAGACAGCCAATCTGCAATTTGATCACGCTGGACAGGCATTAACATACGTGTACATTAGTTAAGTCAACCAATTTCTTCAGAAGGTAAACATAACTGCAATTTAATAACCAGGAATAGGGCATTTGGTCTGGCTGAATTATTAAAACACTCAAATAATAATAAAAAGGAATAATAGTTTTACTTTTATTTATTTATCCAATGAGCAATTAGAGTTGAGACAATAAAAATGCAAAAGTATAAATAAAAAACAAAAGTACTTTTTTATGCAGAAGGTAATATTCTTTGACGCATCATACAAAGGATACAAAGCATAACTATGAATGTGACCATCATCAAAATTGCTGTTATACATTTTTTTCATATACAAATTCATACACACATTTTTCCTCTATGCTAAATTTTCATCAGTGAACTGGGCCATTCGACCCCATCCATTTTACTGGTCAATCTATCATGAGTGTTTTACATTCTGATGTAAAACCCAGAATGTACACTGTGGCACTCACATGGTTAAATGTCTCCAGGGAATGAAGCAGGTCATCAGCATCCAATATATTGTCCAGCTCATCGAAGAGGTTGTTATCTATATAAATATATATGTAATAGGGCCATGAGGACAAGAGGAGCAATGGAGGATAAAAATACTCAACAAGAAATTGTGTTCATTGGAGTTAATGGACACTTCCGTACAGGTAGTCACCATAATATTTAAATTTGTATAATGTTAAAATAAAGTATTTCCTAACTTTGGAAACATATTTGCACCAGTGCCTTCGGGGGTGGATAAACAAACAATAATAATATTTCTGCTATAGATGTTTTTAAAGGTTAATTTATTGCTTTTTATTCTGTCAGTGCCATAGGTTCCTTTCTGTAATGAGGACACACACAGAAGGATTGCGTGTTCCAAAACCAGCCCACTGTGAGGGACTGACCAATCGACTGCAAACACGTAAGGCTCGTTGATAGGCGCTTAGAAATCTCCTAGCAACGCATTTCAGACGCTTTGATATCGACAAGCTGTCCGATCAGAAATGTATAGATCCGAATTCTTTAATTTAATATTCAGTTAAAAAATGAAAGTAGTCATAAATCTATGCAGACTTCACAAGGTTCTTGTTGTTAACGCAAAATCGACAACACTCGAATATTTAAGATACCGATAATTTACCTTCCCTTCGACATATCTAGCAAATTAACAGACAAAATTACCAAAGGAACTAGTACAGACATGAAGATTTTTTTTCATATCCTTATGTTTATGTTGTTACTGGATAGATAATTAAATGACTAGCTAGGTGACAAAACTAGTACACTTTTTAGTGACGCCGGCATACTGTACCAAACTCTTCATCTTGATCGATGCAGATATTCTCCTCAGAACAACGTCCAATCCCATCAGGTTGATTTAACTGATCTTGCAAAAGTAACAGTAAATCTGACGCCATTTTCCCCAAATCATCGGTTACAGAAACTATTTTCAGGGCTGTTTCTGCGTCTTGATTTTTGGGCGATCCCTTCTGCTTAGAATGGACCCTCGGTGCCTGATGAAATGTGTACACATACGTCTGGTTTGCAGAAATTACGGGTCTGGCGCGAGGACAAAATGCACAAAGAACCAACTTTACTGGAGGAGCCCTAGACGGAACTGTACGAAATGTGTGACTTATATTCACAAACAAGAAGCCGATATTATATCTATTTATGCCTTCATTAATAAGGTATAAACATTGGCGTACAAATCAATATTCATAAATACTGTCAATATTGCTTGCAGTGACTAAAACCGGTATTGTTTTTTTTTTTTTTTAAAGAGCACTGAGCTTGTAATTTAATTTCTTTAAATGAGTGCTTGATTTAGTACCTTGATCACATCAAGTTGAGGATTTATTTTTATTTATTCAAAAACACATTTCTGTAGTTCATTTAATTCCAATAAAATAAATGCATATTTTTTATAACTTGCACCTCATCGGAACTATAATGAGTTATATTGCTACTGATTTAATTTGGTTTCATTAAGGTCTAATAAAAAAATCAACAGTAACATGCATCATTAGGAGCAAGGTGTCTTAGACCAAAGATTAACTTATTATTATTTCCCAAAGCAAAATTCTTATGGAAATGCCATTTCTGTTTCTCTGTTGCTTAAATGCCCTGCGCTGGGTTGGCGCCCCATTCTGGGTTGTTACCTGCCTTTCGCCTGTAGCCTCTGGGATAGACTCCAGACTCCCCACAACCCAGAATAAGACAAATCGTTTCAGAAAATAGATGGATGGATGGATGTTGCTTATATGGGCAGGGGTGCAGTAAAGGGGAGGGGGGGGTTAGGATGATTAAAAATTTGTGGTGCAAAATTATGTGCTTTCATGGGATCCAAAATTTCTAGCGGTGCTCCTGTACGTAGATTGGATCTGTCCTGTCACCAACAGAACCTGACATGGGCTGTTACCTCTGGCAGATTCCGAGTTTGATTTAATTAACGAAATATTTTACTTTTTAAGAGTGGATAGAAAATAATCAAGCTATCTCATATATCCTACAACTTAAGAGTGGGTTTTGGCTTTTTTTTATATATATTTTGGCTATAGAATATGGTCATAGAGGATCTTATAAGAGATTTTTATTCTCAGTTACTGAGGAACAGTAGTAAAAAGTTTGGGTATGTCCATCAGATCAGTTTTCAAGTAAGCCTACTTAATTGCGGGGCACAGACCAGCTCTGAGACACGTGAGATATGAATTTATTGTAGTTCAGATATAGATTGTAATATATGCGGGAAATCGACTAAAAAATGCATCATAAATCTACCTGAACAATATGCGCACAATTTAAACAAAACATCTTTGTCATCGGGACTTCACAGGTCTTAACTGCGCTCTGGCAGGGCAGAGGAGCCGTCGTCTCCGATAAGGGCACATGCAGTGAAAATGTTACGGCCGGTTAATAAAGCTTGGGGCACGGACAGAGCCAGCCGCATCCGAAAGCTCTCAGTCCGGACAGATGGCACTAAGTTGGCTTTGAGAAGCACCCGCTGGGTTCCGCTGACCGGGTAGGGAAGTGTTACATTATCTGCGCCGTTTTAGCGGCGCGGGTGGCTGAAGGTGACACGTACGCCTTCATGTATCCTTGGAGTATTGCCGGTCCGATGTTTTAATCAAAACTACACTGTCATATTATTAGCTATAGCTGGATGGGCGCAGTTGAAAAAAGTTCTGAACTAGCAGGCTCTATTTTATCGTTGTAATAACATCCCAGTAAGTAAACTTTTTATGGATACGTTGTTTCGTGCTATTTTATCATTCTACATTCTATAGATGAATAAATATTAAATTAAAACGCGGAACATTTTACTGTATGTTTATATAATTAGGAACCCGGTTTGTCGAAGAACACATCAAAGGTAACGTGATTTATAAAGTGATATAAAACTGCTGAAGACTTTAAAAAAATAATTACTGGAGTATTGTAAATAATTCCGTGTCTGTTTCAAGCAACCCACTAGGTGGTAGCAAACTATTCCTTTCACTAATGTTCTGGCTGACATGTTCATTAATGATTTGTGTTTAGTTCCGTGATGTACAATATCAAGCACGTTTAAATGATAAATATTTATAGATCTACGAAGTACACCTTTTAGAAGTATATTCTAGGTATTTTAACGAAATTCAGATTGCAATTAAAATGTCTTTTGGCAATGTAATTTACAAACTACAAGTAAAATTTAACACAATCAATCTGCGTTGACCATAGGCCTATCAACGACATCAAATAATTTCCAGAACTCAAAAAGTACAAGTAGGTCACCAAGTCCCTAAATAACACAAGTAGACCCATTTTTCAAAAGAAAAACATAGAAACAATTATCCATTAGATTGTCAGTCAAAATTTGAAATGAAACATGCCATTAAGAAGTAGGCCTACATATGGAGAAGCTAAACTCTAGTGTGCATACCCCTTGTAATACTGACAGATTTAAACTGGTTAAAGAAACCAGCTTATGTAAATGTATATGCACCATAGCAACAAGAATTCCCTGGGGTAATTACCACAGCGTCTGTCCTGTGATATATTCTTAAGCTCAATTTTAGCCTGCTTCTTAAATGGTCATGCTGGTCACACTGCAGCCTGGAGGTCTGAAGCACAGAATTAGCTTAACCTGAGGTGGTCTTTCATGGGATCCCCCAGAAGTGACCCATTAAGTAATTCTGCTGGAGTCTGTCTGTTGATAGGATTAGTCATGTGTTTGGGTTAATACTTCATATTCTTTAAAAAAAAAAAAAGGTTTTCTTTCTCTAGAGAGAAAATCTCATGCATCTAGGAATAGACATTTCACACTGGATATGTTGCAACCCATACAATACAATAGTCAGCATAATGTACTAAAATGTTATTTAATATATATATTATTTATTTTACACTATGCTGTGGACTGTATTTTGGCTTGGATCAACAATTTCTTAGTATGTGAAATGTGTATTGTTGAATATTTCCAAACACAAAGTTAATGTGTTGGTGCAATAGATGCGTTACAGTAGTTTCAAGGCTTTCATCAGAAACAGTGATAGTAAAATGGGATATTTTATGCTGCAAGTCTTATGTCTTATGTATAGGAAAATTGAGATCAAACAGATCAGGCTGCAGTGACCGAGTTCAGTTATTCACTCAGTTCATCTCTATTCAGTTTCAAAGGCATTTACACAATCAAAGGCGACCACATGAGTAATGTTTGTTTTTATTGTTGTACTTTTTAATTTGCATACTTGTGACAATGAAAAAAAACTGTTTCTCCTTGGTCCCATTATAACCAACATAGTACCAGTTTTAAGCTACTTTACATCACCACTGTAGTTTATTGAACGACTTTGTATCCATGTCGCTAGATTTAATAATATTATTTTAGTACTTTTGAACATAATGCCAACACATTTTTATGTGAATATTGCATGCAGTACCAAGGTACAGAAACATAGAAAGATACAATGTCACTCTGCTCTCTGTGGTCTCTATTGGCTTGACCAGAGGCTTGGGTTGCTGATCTTCTGGACGGTGGGTGGAGGTCAAATCCACTGAGCTGGACATTCAGTTCCATGGTGAATGATTAACAGCTGTATACTGTGCCAGCGAAGTGGACATTTTGGCTTATCTCCGCACATTCCCAGCATGTGAACAAATCTTACAAAAACGGCAACTGGGTTTTCTTCATGGGGAACAGATACACCGCACATGTTCACTAATAGATTAAAAGTAAAGTTATAAATCATTTTATGATCAGCATCAATAAATTTACACTGCGGTAAAATAGCCAATGAAACAGTCATTACCAGTGATCAACATCTGGGTCTGACTTTAACTGCACGCATCCCTTGTTCTCTGCTTTATATAGCACTCGTGAAACACATAGACCACTATTTGACCACAAATATAAAAAAAAATCGGGCAAATCAGGAGCCATTTTTAGACAGCATAACACATCACGGTGCATTTTATTGTGTTTAAGACTGATGGAGAGAATGAATAGTGCGCAGAAACGAGAAACGCGCTTATTGTCCTGCCTTTTGCGGTTTAAGTAACAAACGCGTAACAAACGGAGTAAGAGAGTTCCAGGGGTCACCCGTGTTCACTTCCACTTTATCGTAATGAAGCCGAGCGAGAATTATTCGTCTTGCGTGCTGGAAGACCTTTCATATCTTGAAAAATAAGTATACAATGCGAGACAACAGGGTCTGAACGAAAGATTGCCGTTAAATATAAATAAAATGCTGAAAATAACAACTAGGCATCCCTTTTTCTGATCTTTGAGGCCAACATTATGATCACGTTTGCAGAACGTGTATGTTTTTTTGAAGTTTTTCTGCTGTTTTACACAGCATGGGTATGATTGGGAGGCGGCTCAGTTTGCTATGCTCGTTGAGAGATTGGGGTTGCGATAGCGGTGCGTTGGGGATAGTGTTATGAATACAAAAGATTAGTGCCGGCGGGGGGGCTTCCTCGTTGACTGTGGGGCTGGAGGAGTCCTTTTGGGTTTGAGCTGGTGGCGACTCTAGCGGCTGCAATGGAAATTAGGCTTTCATTTAAGTGAACGATATTATAACGGTTACTGCACTGATTTTCGTGAGTTAACTTCGTCCATTTCGCGCAATGGGTGAGATTGTGTTGTCTTAAGAGTAAGACATAATTCAGTCCGTTCAAAGAATGAATGACCGTTCATTTTGTTCAGGAACGTGATCAATGACGTCGATCATACCGTTAACTATTATCTGTTTCGCCACCAGTTCTATAAATATTTGTATATAAATGAAATAAAAGGTAAGCCTATAAGATTGTAATAGGCCAATTATTTTCAACTGCGGTATTTATTATCCTTTTATTTAAAGAATGTCTTTTGGGGTCCATATAGATTTTGAAAATCTATAGCTAGAAAAAAATAGGCCAATAACAATATGAGCAAATGCCCCAAACCATTTGCTTCCATTAGTGATACAAAGGAGAAATTGATAAATTGCCATTTTAGTCTGTTTCTTTGACTTTAATGAATTTACATTAACTAATGGGATGGGCAAATGAAAAGGGCTGATTAGTGTGGAATGAGTTGGAAAAAAACCTATTCATCTTTGTTAGTATCCTCCTGTGTTCCTTTATGGGCTGTTTTACTACGAGGCGAGCTGAGGCCGCGTTCCCATTTGAAAGACTGGCAGGGGGACTGTGCTGAGTGCTCATCCCAAACGGAGGCTCCGACAAAACGGAGTTCAAGACTATGAATGCCGGTGACTCCTGCGTAACCTTCTGAGGTACTGAGAGCTCACCCTTAAATGACCCCTTTTTTCTGGGGAAAGATCTGGGGCACTTCAAAGGGGTCTCCAGACCAACTCCAGCGAGAATTTACACTGAAAACACTGGAAATCGTGTCTTTATTCTGACGCTTGTTTTTCAAGCAACTGTATTGTTGTTGTTGTTGTTGTTATTATTATTATTATTATTAGGCCTATTATACCAATTGCATCTATAAAAATCTCAGAAACGCACTGTAAAATTCCATACGTTGTACATTAAATAAAGGAAATGATTCATGCTTATTTTAATCATTAACATTTTATAGGAAAATTACGTAATTATGGGACGCATCATGTACAACGTGGAATTCTATATTCTTCTTATATTATTTTTTAATTTTTTTGGTTCTACAACTCACCGGCGTACTGCAGCTGCTTTGTCGTAGCTAAGTGTACGCCAGCGAACGCTATTCTGCTGTCATTGGGAGAATCCCCTCTTTCGCCACCCCCTTTGCAGGGCCCCACGTGTATGCCAGCCTGTTTGTAGCTGCGAGAGTTCAGTGGGGCCGAAGGGAAGATTCCGGAGAGATGCTGCTCTCCGTGACGGCGCACTCGCAACTATCAAAGCAATAGTTAACACAGGATGGATAATAACGACAGATATCTGCACCTAAGTAAGTGTACCGATGTTCCATTGCGTCTTTGACCGTCTGTTTCGAGCGCGTTTTAAGTCGGATTTTCCCTGTTGGGTTGCGGCGTTCGCGGCACTCCGCCGGTGGACTTTAGACGAGATGTCAATCCCGCGGTCTTCTTATCGGTTTAGCGAGTACTCGTCCCACAGCAGTTTCTTGACAAGGAGGATGTGCCCGTGGAAAAGTCAGCCGCTCGCAGCTCTGCCTTTTCCGACTGGGTCAGAGGTTGGCACTTTAATTGCGGTTTTGTTATTTATGGCCATTCTAACGCGTCTCCAAACTGTTCTCAGCCAAACCGCTATGTTAACTTGCATTGTGTTCCGCACTAGAATTAAGTGCGTCGCCGTGGAGGAAATGAAATTTTGGAGGATGCCATGAGGAAAGCACCTCAGAACCGTAAAAGGTCTTTCAAATAGTGGCTGTACTTCAACTGGACCACATGTATAATTTGCATTAGTTATAACAACATTCATGTATGTAATACACATAACTAGTGGTGCATATGGTATATTATGTTACGGAACAAGCTTTCTGATAAAGGAGGATGAATGCAAATAGAAAACTGACATTGTGTCCAGTTGTAGTAGGCTACATTTTTTGTGGGGCAGCTTTGCTTTGTGATATAGCTCTGATGTCACTCATGACATATGGATGTATTAGAAGCAGCTATATTTATTACAGTAGTGAAAATATTTTGCCTTGTTAGACATTTGTCAGAATATGGTGGTTGATACTGAAAAATCTAGTTGTAAAATTATATAAAGCTATCCCGTGAAACCAGTTGACATGACCGAAAAATGACCACAGATTGTTGAATCCACTATGCCACTTAGATCAAGAGTGTATTTCTCAGTGTTACATGAATGTCTGCTTAAGGCCAGATGTTATTTTAAATTAAGTTTAAATTCCAAAAGACTATCAGCAGTATCCTTTATAATTAGCTTTCAGGGTTAGTTTAATTTGTGTTTGACAGCAATAATATTGACTGCGGCATCAACTATTGACAATTACCTTAACTATATGAGAATTGAGAGGTGCAGTGTGTGGTTTCCCTTCTTATTACGCCAATCACCAATGAGTCAGAGCTGTTTTTTAAATCACAGGCTTCTCTAGGAAGTAGCAGTGTAAGCTTCCACTGTATTTGGCAGCGAGAATCTCGAGGAAGCTAAACTCAAGAATTTTCAGTTTGTCATCACAGTTAGTCATGCACTTGGTCATACATGAAACTACAGTAACCTGTTCACCTGACTAGGTGAAAAAACAGAAGTAGCTGGAGGAAGCCTAAACACAGAAGACATGCACTCCACACATGGCCCTGGTCACTCCCACAGCCCCAGAGATTTAAAGCCACAATGCTGCCTGTTGAGCTGATGCACCATCCCATAGAATATTATTTTTAAAAAATATGGGGGGAAAAAAAAAAAAAATGTATAGCTGAGCATTTTGACAGGACATTAAAAGCCCCAGACTTAAAATGTAATAAATCCATAACAATGTATCTGACGTGTTTGCCGTTATATAGTAAATCCACTGGGTTTATGCACTGTATGAGGTGTATTTTGAGGTGTATTTTATGCTATGTTTGTGTAAATGGTTACTGTTATTGTGGCATGAAATAGGTTCAATTCCAGGGTTATTTTTTCCTAATCTTCCATCTTTGGTAATTAGTACTTAAGGTTAAAGTTCTGCACTGAATTAGTGTTTGTCTACATATGGTTGGTTCTTAGCTCTTTAGTCTGATGATCTGATTCTGACAGTCAAATGGGGCAAGATAAGTGGTATGGTCAGTTAATATGGCAAAGGATTCAACTGAAGGTAAGGGCTGCGCATTCCGCTAGAACATGCTGAGTTGTGTCCATTTGTGTTGCATCTTCACTTTGAAAACTGGGTGACAGGTGATATTTCAATAGCTCGTATTTAGTGACATTACCGAGCATAACATTACCGTTCCCCCTCCCTCACAATTCAGAGCAAATTCTTTCTGAATCTGATGTCTATTTTAAGGCCTAAGGGTGCGATTTTAACATGCCTGCTCCACTGTGCAGCCTGTTTTATGATTTGCCTCTGGGCCAAGGGCATAGATTTGGCTATGGACGGTAGGGAGGTGCCCTTCCCAATATTGTGGGAGTACTGTATGTGTGTCTAGTGGGGCAGGGGGCTCGGGGTTGATTTGGGCCCTACAAATGCTGAAACCAAACCTACGCCTTTGCTTTGGGCTTGTTGGAACTGCTAAAGGAGCTGTAGTGTATTTAATTCTGTTGCCCACACAATGCTTTTATGTAAGCTTGGTATTCTCTCCTTCTGGGCAATTTTCTTTTTATTCATTGCAAGACAGAGTGCAAGATAAAGCAGAAAGAATATGTGTCACATTTAGGAACGCAAAATAGCAGTCGTTATAGGAAGTAGTAACATTGTTATATAAGCCCGTCCATTAATAAAGTTGCAGTTGAATTTCTCATTTCATCTGCATTCACGAGTTACACTGTTTTTCTTCTGATATCTAAGTATTTATTAAAACTGTGTTTGGGGAGAAATACAGCAGAATTAGGTATGCATCTGAAAACCCCGCTCATTTGGGGGTCCACTCTACAATCACCTCGTTAGATAATGCTGAAGCCTGATGTGGGAGCTCATGGTTTGTTAACAGTTAACTAATGATGTTTTTACTCTTTATTCTTACCGTGGTGGTCAGGTTTTTGCTGTTTGTTAAAGGCCAGTATTTTCACGTGCCTCTGTTTGTTGTCAGTGTTTGTGTTCTCTGCGTATGCTTTACAATTTCACAAAGCGGAGATGTTTTTGCAATGTGAACGGTCATTAATGTGCTCCTTTAAATGAACACTGCTGTTCGTTTGTTGGCCCTTGGTTCTCTGCAGCTGCTCTCTATATATAAAGCAGCCCCTTCTCTTATTATTTTTATTTAAAAAAAAAAAAAAGATTCCACTCTTGAACTGCCTGTTAATCCATTTGTGCCTCTCTCTCAAATGACATAATCGCTGACATTTCTGTGGTCATCTTGCGTATTATACAGAAAGATGAGGGTGCATGGAAATGAACAGTCCATCAGACGATATTTGAGGGACAGCGTTTGCTCAAGTTTGAAGCCATTGTGCTCAGCACAGGCTGAACTTCTACTCTATGTCCCAGATGGTGATTCATCTGTCCTTACATCAGGCAAGCACTGGGAAAACCTAAACAAGAAAAAGAAGAAGGGCCCGATTTCATCGCTGCTCACTTAATCCTCTCCCAAAAATAGCAATTCATAAAAAAATCTCCAGGTAGACAAATCTCTAGGGTAATGATGAGGTTGACTGAACCTGAAAATCACTGAAGCTAAAAAAGATTGGAAGATTATAGAGAAACCTGCTATTTAAGAATAAAAACTAAAAAAGCAACAGGTGCTTCTGACTCATTTTACTGACACTTGTGGCCTGTGGGATATTAAGCTGCTCTGCTTGCAATAAACTGCTCCCCCTAGACTGATCTGAGGATAATCTCAGTAATCCAGTAAGTGGCACAGACTCCACCCCAGCACCCTGCAGCCCCACTGCTATGCCCAGTGGTGAAGGCCATGGAGCCTGATTGGCCGGAGGCACAGGACTTTCCAGTAATGTGGCACACGGATGCTTCCCTGACTATAGACAGCCGGTTTGCTGATACAGGCTGTGGTCAGTTTAAGTAGTAGCTCACAACTAGTACAAATAGAAATGTGCTAAGGGTGCATCTGGTCACTTTCCAAAAGTGCTTAAATTATATTTCCAGCAGAAACAATAAACACAGGCACAAAAAATAAATTACAGTCGTGTCGCTTAACGATGGCGATGCGTTTTGAGAAATTCATTAGGCAATTTCGTCATTATATGAACATCATTGAGTGTACTTACACAAACCTATATGGTATACCCTAGTATACACCAGTAAAACTTTTTTTTAAAGTATAGAGTACACTAAACTAATGATAAAAGTACAGTAAATACATAAACCAGTTACACAGTTATTATCATTATCATATATTATGCACGTAATGGTGTGTGCTGTACTTTATACTGGCAGTGCAGTAGTTTGGTTACACCAGCATCACCACAAACACATTAGACACATCAGTAGGTGATAGGAAATTTTCAGTTCCATTACAATGTAATCTTATGAGATCCCCACTGTATATGCAGTGTGTCGTTGACCAAAACATAATTATGTGGCTCATGAATGTATATTGATTTACTGGTATTGACAGTAAATACAGTACAAAGTGAATCTACAAATCCTATCATTATGTCATCTTTATGGCCACCTTTTATATACAGTACTGTGCCAAAGTCTTAGGCAGTCAAAGGAAATGTTTAAGGATATTTATCCAGGTAGTTAGGCTATATTTGCAAATTCTTAATAGCACAATAAAAATGAAGAATTTCTTCTGGTCTCCAAAAAGTTACTGATGTCTGGATCTGAATGACTAAATGAACAAGGCTTTGGTTCCCAAACCTCTCCTCGGGGCCACCCCAGCCATTCCATGTGTTCATTAAATTTTACTACCAACTCAATCAATTAATTAACTTAATTTGTTAAAGTAAAAAAATACCTGGGTATATTAGATGGTCAACTGCAAATACTGTAGTGATTTTAGGATAGGTTTTGAAATGACTAAGCTGACAAATTTTGACAAATATATGGTTCTTTTCAGTGTACTTCATGATTTACTAATTTCTGCTAGCAAGTCTGTGAGAACCACCGTCTTACTGTAGCATCAAACACTAGTGGAATTAACATTTGCTTGCGTAAATTTGCATTACAGGTCCATTCTGTTCAGCTATTCTATAGCTATAAATTTTCAAGTTCTGAGTTATCAGGAATGCATCGATATATCATGATGTACGCTATGACTAATAAAAAATATATTGAATATACCTTTTTTTCATTCAGATAATCTATGTGCAGAACACTGTTATCTCCCTGCATTTCGACCAATCAGATGATGGTGATGCAACCACCTCAGTTAATCATGCTTTTGGCCCTGCTAGTAAGCAGGTATGGCTTAGATGATTTACAATGGAAAACCATCAGTGCGCAGTATAGCTGAGGTATGGCTCGGTTATTGGTGACAGTGGAAGAGCACCAATAGTTTTTCACCAACAAAAAGATCATTTAAACATCATTTTCTTTGACTGCCTAAGACTTTTGCATAGTACTGTATGTAACTTTTATGACTTTTGTATATGTTCAATATATATAATTTCTTCTAGTATTCAATATATGTAATGTGTTCCTCTACAAGGTTGTGGACAATCTGGAGTCACTGGTAGGGGACACGCTAAATGGGATGCTAGTTCATCACAGGGAAAGACCTGTATATTGGTTTCTTCCTTTTTCAATGGTCAGTAACTCATTGTGTCTAAAGAAAAATCGCATACCTCTTTATGTTAGTTACTGTGTATAACTGTTGGAGATAACTACCAGAAAAGTACTGCCTAATGCATAACTATTGCTGAATAATCCATTTGGCTGAAAATAAAACAGATTTTTCAGGGATGTGGAAAAGAATTTGTATTATTTGGGGAGGTGGCTTCCATTTGTGTGAGGCTGTTTGGGTGTTTTCCTGAACATGGCAGGTCCTTGTCATCATTCAACATGCACATGGAATTTTAGCTTATGGGTGATATAAAAAGGCTGGATCTGCCCTCAGATTTTACAGAAAGTGAATGATTCTCATGCCTTAGCTGTCCTGTTAGTTTTCTCACCGTGCTGCTCTGAGCACTCCGTACGAGTGCTGCTAGTGTTGCATTAGTTTGGCGGGTGTGCCGGTTACCCTGTTTCAGGTTCTAAATATCACACAGGATGCAGTGTGACCCTTTTGAGATGAGGATCTTTGAAGCACACCCTTCCACCAGTAAACCCACCCTGGCACTAGGTGTCCCATCTTCCCTATACCAAGGGCCAATGCCTATCTTATGCCACTGGTGCGGACAGCCTGTCCCACAGCGTTCATCCATCTGGCTGCTTTGCACTGGGCTCACCTTTGCCCGCGCTGGGCCATCAAGTCTGGTCTCCTTGGTGACAAAGTCACAGACACTGCAAAAAGATGCTCTTTTGTCATATAAGTTGGCCAGTTAATCTTGGTGTTCAGTCTAAATTATAAGACGATGCTGTAATTTATCATTAGCTTTTCGTTATATTTTGCAGTCTGTATATTAGACTGATGCAGAGCTAACTCTTTTTGAGTTTGACTGGTCAGCATATGAGGCCTGATCACTCACCGCTATGTGACTTTGCAAGGCAGTGGTGGTTTGTTCTGTTTTCATCCCTTGGGGGCTCCTGCCACCTGGCAGAGTGCAAACGTCCTCTGTCATCGTAGAAACTTTGACGCCACTCACCACCTGGCCCCACAGTTGGCGCGCACTCTGCTTGTCCGTCGGCTTTCAGCGCCAAGGCCCGCATGCCGGGTATGCTGCAGGCAGATTCTTATGGGGGCTTGTGTTCCCGGATTGCTCGCAACCCTGGCTTCCGTGACCCCTGGCGTCATGTAACACCTGGGTATGCTTAAACTGGTGAGATATCTTCTGGATGACCATGTGCTGCCAGTTAGCAGTACCTCTTTGCCCAGTCCTATCAAATGAACTTGGTATTATAGCGAGCATCTGTCAAAAAGGACCTGACAGGATCCAGCCCTCCCTGAGTCCTTCCCACTTTTTGTGATCCATTGGACATATGGGTTGTCAGTCATCTGGTACAGAACTGTCTTTATGAAAGGGGGAGACATACACCCCTTTAGATAGATTTACTAGTGGTACACAGATGTGAACATTTTGACTGCCACCAATAACCGATACCGAAAACAGTCAATGAAACTTGCCAACACCAATTAGCGGAATGATGTTACATAATTTTTTATCCTCTGTGTAAAATGAAAGATTAATTTAATAATGAATTAAAAGCATGTTGCAGGCCATATAAAACCATCTTGCAGGCCGGAGCATTGACACCTCTTGTAACTGGTGAATGAGCTAACTAAATCCACCATCCTCCACTATGGAAAATGGCTGATCGTTCAACGCAATCATCTGCATTATTTTAGTAATATCTTTAGCTGTGGTGCTACTAAATTTGAATATTGATAACGTCTAAATATCAACCCGAAATATTGGACAAAACTGACACATCAGACTGATCCAGATGTCTTGAATTTTATCAAATATAGGCCAATACCAATATATTAACCAATATATCATTCAAGGTTTACATTTCCAAAACATGCTTTTCAATCTACACATAAATACTTTTGATCATCTTGGGGCTTCAAAGGGTACTGATTTGTAGTTATATTTTGCATTCAGATGTTTGCCTTTTGGGGCATAAATGTACATAAAATGTACATCAGCTTCAAAGCAGCTATACAAAATCATTCAGCTACCCCTTCAACTGTACAGAAAAAGGTTTGTTTAGTAGCTTCTCTGAGGCATGGTAATCCCTGTCTTACCCCTCGTGGGACTGGCCCTGGCCATCGCACTGCCCCATTTGTGATTTGGTGGAGGCTTTTTTTTTTGCCAATTTAACTATCATTAAAAGAGAAGCTCTGTATTTGCTGCTGGACTGTAGTTTTCAGCTTTTGAAATTAGCCCTTCAAAGGGGTAGCTTGCCTGCCCCATTCATATGAAGAAATCTGCCTTTATTCACGAGCGTCAGTCAATTAGCTTGCGCCTCCTTTGTTAAACATTAATCAGACTCTTAAACTGTCGGGACTGCCTTTCTGTTATGTAATTCATTCCATGTCCTACCTAACGATCTGCCAACTTTTCACCTCCTGAACACACGAATCACGCTCACTGGGCTTTCAAAGAATCCCCAAGCTTTTCATAGTAAATTATGTGCATTTTTGCACATATGGCGGATTGGTTCACCACACAGATGCATTTTAGCCATTGTGGTCACCTAATTAAACATAAATCCCTTTGTCTTTGGCAAACATGGTGGTGTCTTTCGTGCACAACACACTGCTTCCGACATGAGCATGATTGTAGATCATCGCCGGTCATCTGCGAGATGCTATTTTGAGCTTAGCTATTCCTCCCATTCCCAGAGCATATGTTTCAGTATATACTGTAGCTCATAAGGTCTACAAAATAGAGCTTAGTAAAAAGGGGTGACAGAGGCTTCTTGTAACTGTACCTAAACCATGAAGGGCTTTGAAGGTGATGAGGATAATTTTATATTTGATTCTTGAAGAGACAGGCAACTAATCATGGAGGACAGGAGTAATGTGAGCAGATTTTTTAGTGTGCGTAAGTAGACGGGAAGTTAACAGTTCAGTGAGTAGCACTGCAACCTCACATCTCCAGGATTGGGGTTTGCTTCCTACTCTGGCATTGTGTGTCTGGAGTTCTATTTGGAGTTACACATGCTTCTTCCTGTTGTCCAAAGACTTGCGGTTGGATGAGTTTCTCTCTCTAAATTGCCCACAGTGCGTGACTGTGTTTCTAAACGTGTGGCCTGCTATGGACAGACATCTCATTTGAGGTGTTCCGCAGCCTTTTCCTCTGTGCTTCCTGGGATATGTTGCAAGCTCACGGTGATTGCAATGAGTAAGCAGTAATGAAGATGGATGGTTGGAAAAAAAAAGCATTTATAACTGCATACTGTGTATCAGATAATTATTAACCCATCCAGATAATTATGTGCAATGTTTAAACTAAAACACTTTCTCCACATTATTATAATTAAGAGAGATGCGTACAAAGTTAATTTGGAGATAAATGGAAATGTGCTTTGTCATTTAAAATAGGGGGAAAACTCTGAATTAAGAGGAAGCTGATAGTGTTCAAGAGGAATGAGGCTGGAGCAAAAACCTTCGTAACATGGCCAAGAAAGAATTCGTTTTACTCTCCTGTCATCCTTTCACGTCTTTAAACTCTCATAAATCACTGTCACATATGATTTGCTGCCTGGCCACACCATTGCATTCCAACTGTTTGGAGAAAAAATAAAGGATGACTTCTACATGTCCAGAATTGTGAAAACTGTATTAACTGCTGAATGTCTGTGAAAGTTGCTGCAGATTTATTCTCATTCTAAGTTGAAGTAAGATGAAGCATGAAGTATGTACTTTTCATCCAGAATCTCTCTCGCTTGTCTAATTTTTGTCAAACATGTTTTATGTATATACGGCTGTGGCAGTTGGGAGGGGGGGTTACTCTGTATGCTATAAAGCAACGTTAAGTCAAAAAAGATGTGACGAGAAGTGTTGCATTGTACAGTAGCACTGCCCATACTTAAAGGATTAGAGGCACGTGTGGTTTAATGTCTTGGGTCCTGGGCCTTGTGGGGGGGGCATCTCAGCTTGACATGGACAAGGTCCCCAGCCCCCCCACTAAGGACAGCTGGCCAACCTTCAGATAAACAGGTTGGATATACTTACCGGGTGTAAGAGGATTTAGCAGCACGACAGATCAGACATCAGCCTCATTTAGGAAAGAAATTATTACATTTAAGAAAGCTTGGGGGGCAATGTGTTGGGGGGGAGGGGAAGCCATACAACTAATGCTGTGTGGGGATGAGTTGCAGAAGAGCAGTGTACACAACTACAATTTATGTTCTCATTTCAAGTTATCCTTGTTTCTTTTTTCTGTATTATTCTGAAGGTAACTTGGGTATCTGCAGTGTATATATGGAAATAAATAAGTGTGACTGCTCATCTCACCGTGCTCAGGACCTAGAAATGATTTCTCAAACATGGGCTCGGTCCATTTCATTTGGTGTAGCATTTGTGATAATGACAATCATAATTAAGTAAACCAAGCAACGCAAAATTAGCAGCTGAAAGTGTCACTTTTCCCCGTTTTCAGGGCAAAACAGCTTAAATCATTTTTTAGAAGGTCACTGTTTTGGGCTTTTTTTTTTTTTTAATTCTCAGACATATTAGGAATTCCTCTCATTCAGAATCTGCACTGGAGTATGTTACGGCGAAGTACATTTACATTTATAAAAGCAGAGACATAATGATGATTATTGTAAGGTAAACACCAGGGATTGTTCAGAGACCAGATGTGGTATGTTTTTAACCTGATAATTACGACGGTAGTGCTGACCTTTGAGATATGACTTCTCCGGTCAAAAGTCGCTTGGATTGCGCTGATACGGGATTCCGTCAGGTTTGACAAAATAGTCTGATACAGAGCGTTAGTATGAACGTTATTCTGTCTTTACGCTGTTCGTAATTATTACTAATCCTAATATTTATATCCCGCCGCGCCAAAAGCTGAAACGAGAGCCTCTTGACTCCGTTCCCAATACTATCGATATTGGGTTGTTTGATACAGCATTTCGGGGTTTTTCCTTGGCAATAAAGTGAGTATGACGTCTGAGCAGTGATTAATTACGAATAAAGTTAGCAAACACTATCGTAGATGGCGTTTTTTGCGACAGCTGGCAGCTCGCGTTTTGGCGCGCGGGCATGAAACGCACGGGCAAACTCGCCTCACGTCCGCAGTAAACCACGCGCCGCCGGTCCGCAGTCGGCTAGTTTGCGTCCCGGTCCGCAGTCTGCTAGTTTGCATCCCGGTGAGGTCCCGGTCTGCTGATCTTAACCTGCCATCGGCTACAAACCCGACTGCTCCGTTTGTTCCTGCCGCCCGGGTTTCAGTTACGCAACCGCCGTGCGGCTATCTGCAGGGACTACATGTATCCACCATGGCCTGATATGCGCGCGGTCTGTCCGCGCTGAAATGTGAAACCTTTTCAGGGCACCTAGAGGGGGGGAATTCTGGGTTCTTAGTATATAAATGCCAAGGTGGTTGACTTGACCCAACTTGCTGATTTCCGTCTCAATCGTTTATGTATATTAATACTTAAATAATTAAGACCAAAAACTGAAACAAAAATGTAGGCATCTAAAAAAGAAAATGACTCATTATTTTCCTCTATTTTGTAGGGTGGAATTTTATTTTATAGGCGTAAAATATTTAAGTCCAACCATTGATGAAGCCATCAGGGGGACCTTTTCTGTGTAACATCGTATCTGAGTTTGACGTGTAAGATAACAGATGTATACCACTCAGCGCCAAACGATCTCATACGCAAGAAAGATTTGGATTGTGGCAGCTTATTGTATCCTGAAGGACAGACTGCTATGTGAAAAGTTTAAAAGGGGTAGTAACCGTAAATGGAGGGTGTATAACTTAATCACCCCCCCCAGTTTCTTTAATAGTTGAATAAAGGTGGGTAGTGCTGATGTCTCACAACTGTAGGGTTGGGGGATTGAATTTCAGATCTGCTCTTTGCACGTGGACTTTGTATATTCTTCCTGTGCTGTGCAGTCCTGAGACATGCAGTTAGGTTAATTGGTGTATTTAAATTGCCCGCTGTGTATCTGTTTTGTGATGAACTGGTATCTCGTTCTGTGCTGCCTGGGATACGCTTCAGGTAGCCCTGACTAGAATAAGCAGTTGAAAGATGGCTGGAGATTCTGCTGGATAGTTGGGATTTCACTGTTGATGGAAGGCAGTGCTATTGAAGGGCTATATCACATGCTGTGTGCATATGTGTAGGGAGTCGGTCCCCCTCTGTCCAATCCCAATACTGAATATATACAGAATGCAAGCAGCCTGCTACCCCAAACTGACCTATGTGGCTGCTAGTGATGGGTGAAATTTCTCTTTTTTTGGGACACAGATTGATTCAGTTCACCTAAAATATTTGTTCTGATTCATTCACCAACTTGTTCAGTGGCACTTCCTGTTTGCGTAAAACAGATCTCAAACACTTGTGTTCCAATATGTCAAAAAATTGCCTATTATTTAGGCTAAATAGTGTTTAGGAGTAAGCTAAATGCCACCAATAAGTCATCTGATATAAATAATATTTGTTATTAAATTATAGTTTAAGTGTTTCAGCATTAGCTACTCATGTTTGTTAAAAACACAAACCCAACAGCTCATCATATAGTTAGCTAATGAGTCCAAACGCTAGCAAACCTTGGTTAAAATAATTTTGCATCGTGAAATTGTTGCATTTCTAAAATCCAATTTGCCGAATGTGGGAAGTCACTGCACCTGTTTACCCCACCAGGAGATGATGCATTTCAGTCATGACTGAGGTACTGCTCTCTCATGCACCGACTCGCTCACCAGCTTCTTCACTCCTTTGGGTCTCTCATTCAGAACAAGAGATCCAAAGGAGTGGAGTGACTCTTGTTCCCCAACTCACTCACCAATTCCTTCACTCCTTCGGGTCTCTCGTTCTTGTCCTGGGGTGCGTTTCCCAAAAGCTGCCGCTAGCAACTCACACAGTTGGACCCATCTGGTTGCAAGGTATAAATACATTATAAATGCGTAAATACATTGAATAATGTAAATGATATATGTGCACACAAAATCAGTTCTTATTTCTGAGCCAAATGATCTGGCTCACTGACTCACTCGTGGTTGTGCGTTCACTGTGGCCAAATAAAATCCCAGGTTTAGTTTCCTGCCAATCATATGCTCACTTCCAGCCTAAACTTACATACCTTACTGGCTCTCACTGGCCATAGTCGAGGAGTGAAGCAGCATTCATGTCATATTTCTGAGGATAAGCGGAAGAGTGAAAAGAAGGAAGTGCAGGGAAGTGAATGTGATTGTATAGTAAGGGACCCATTCCTCACAAACAAATCGTTCACGAACGCACACCCTTAGTGGCTGCAACTGAATTCATACAATATGGAGACAGGGTCAAGAGGTTTATTTATTGGTCAGCTCAGCATTTTGCCATTTCACCATCTAAGATGCATAATCTACATGATTTAAAATGTGTTGATTGTTGGTGCCACACCTAGTGGTTTGAGGCTAGTTTCAAATATTGTACACTGAACGTTTTGATGGCCATGACAAAAAACAAAGGTTTTTGGTATTTAGATAATAACGAATGGAAAGTTTTATGAACTCTATGTTTGGATCTATACAGGTGCTTCTCTACTTATGAGCTCTATGTTTGGATCTATACAGGCGCTTCTCTACTTATGAGCTCTATGTTTGGATCTATACAGGCGCTTCTCTACTTATGAACTCTATGTTTGGATCTATACAGGCGCTTCTCTACTTATGAACTTTCAATTTACAAACTTTCACACATACAAATGAAGAGGACCGTAAGTCCAAATTGTGCTCATTGGACTCCCGTTTCCTGTCCGCAACATCAATTTTGTTTTCTGCGCGCCAATTCCGGCTAGTACGACTGGCCGCTACTCCCGCCGTTCAGCAGCGTAGCGTGCGTTCTCCCAGCATCCTAGTTCTTTGTACTTGCGTATACCTTAAAATGATGTTGAACGACTTACGAACATTTCAAGTTATGAACGGCAGTTCAGAACGTATCTCGTTTGTGAGTAGAGGAAGGTCTGTATTCCTTTTGTCTGTAGTATTAGTGTTATGGACGCTCATTCTTCTGTTGAGTGAAGGTTCTTGTTGAACTATGGGGCCATGTGCTGTGGTTTAATTCGCAGGTTCCCCCGGGCCCATGAGTTCGCCCCCCACCCAGCCGCCCATGAGCTCCATGTTGGGACATCCCTCTGTTATCAGCACTTCGACAGCCCCTTCTCGGCACCACCCCTCCCCCGCAGGCGTCATCAGTTCCCCCATGAATGGGTTAGCCTCCCCTTACTCTGTCATCACCTCATCGCTTGGTTCCCCGTCCGTCTGCCTGCCTTCCGCTCTTGAAATCGACTTTGGGACCCTAAACAGTGCACAGGTAAGGCCTCGTGGGTTAGACAGGGGGCACTGTGGTGCTGGCTGTCTTTAAATGCACGAGTCGCGTGTGCTCCCATCTGTTAACGAGTCCCACAAGACTGAAAATAACAGTAAATCAACTCTATTACTTTTTTAGTAAATGTCATCCAGAAAATGCACCAGTGACGTGATCTGGCATGACGCCTTATATGAATGCCTTTCCACGTGTTTCCTTTTAAGTGAGTCAACTTGCTAGCCAGGAGAAAAGTCAAGTTTTTATTTCATTAATTACCTGTTTTGTAATCTTATATAATATCATATTCAGAGCCAGTCAGGAAATCTACTGCTGTCTTTATGTCTTTTTTTTTTGTGAACCTGCCCTTATCCCTTTTCTCTGACAATTTGGCATCCAAATTGACACATCAAATAGGACAGGGCCCCATTTGTTTAAACTCAGTCCAATCCCTGTAGATATAACCTTTTTACTGCCTTGAATGTTTCTACCAGTCCGACAAGACTGAGTTGTGTCTTTTCCTTTGGTCCCAGAAAATGTGGCCAGATCCTGATCTCCAGTCCCACTCCCCCTTTCAGTCATGACCCAGCACCTGTCATGTTTCCTTCCATGTCCCCCCTGCGCTGCACTTGGTGCCGTGTCTGTTAAACCAGAATGAAGTCCACCCATCACGTGGTTCTGTTTGCCCTCAGGCCATAATCAGGCCTTTTCTTCTGTCACACTGGATTCTTATGAAATGCTGGGATTGTGGGTCTATAGCAGCCTGCAGCTGAGGTTGGCCTTTATGTGCTTTTTGATGACCACTGTCCGGCTGTCTCTGTGGGCATCACTGTAGCCTCACACCTCTAGTATTGCAGGTTATGTCCCCTGCTGGCTCAGTGTTTGTGCAGGTTCCATGTTCTCCGTGTGTTTTTCTGGGTTTACCTCCCCCTGCAGTCCAAAGACATGTAGATATGTAAGTTGGTGTCTCTAGTTTGATTGCTTGAGTGCATTTGCCCAGTCTGTCCCTTGCCTTGTGCCCATCGCCTCCTGGGACAGACTTCAGACTAACTGCAACCCTGTATCAGACCCACAGTTAGGATAAATAGAAGGGTTACATACATGAAGGAAATCCTAAAGAAAAACATGTTACTTTACCATACGTACAGTATTACAGCAACATAAGGTAAAATGGGAACCATGTGTAGCAAACAATAGCCCTTAGCGCTCTTAATCCTGTGTATTTATGATGCCCGTCTGGCATGCTGGAGTTCACCACTCTACTCACTCAGCCTGCTATTTTCTCATTATATCTACTTAGTCCGCTCCTTGGGGACAGCGGGACAGCACAGATGGAGGCCACTGCCCGAGTGCTTTTGAACGTGACATTGATCTGCTCTCTAGCAAAAGGAGTGTTTCATACACGACACGATTGCTGGCATGCTATGTTGTTTCTGTCTATTTATGTTTGTATTCATTGCTCTTATTTGATGATTTTATCCAATATACTGAGGTATTTTACCCATTTATACAGCTGAATAATTTTCTGAGGGACCAGGTTAAGTGAATCTTTTAGAGGATCTATGGTAGAGTCTATCCTGGGTTTAAAACTTTCTGGTTTCATGTCTGTGGTTTTAAACCCCCCAGTACCATGTAACGTACTTTGGATTGTAGCACACTGAGCAAATATGTGCTCCCCTCCCAGGTGGTCACATGATCGAAACGATGGCCACTCGTCTCATGTGCCTTCTTTGCCCCCTAAGATCAGTTCGATGAATGTCAGCAACATGGATGATGTGAAGCCACCTCTCACCCTGGGGAACATGAATAGTTATCAATGTGCCAGTCCTGGGTCCCTGACCAAGCACATCTGTGCCATCTGTGGGGATCGCTCCTCAGGTAACGGCCTGTGACTCTCACCACACAAACGTGTCAGTCCTCCAAAATAGGTATCACCGACCAATCCGGTGTCTGGAAATACCCACAAAGATGTCTGACGTCCGGATACATGCTGTGTGGCATTGTCCCCACACCAGATCCGTGTCCATCTTCATGCCTCTTTCCCTGCGAGCAGGGAAGCATTACGGTGTGTACAGCTGCGAGGGCTGCAAGGGGTTCTTCAAGAGGACCATTAGGAAAGACCTCACCTATACGTGCCGGGACTGCAAGGACTGCCTGATCGACAAGCGCCAGAGGAACCGCTGCCAGTACTGTCGCTACCAGAAGTGTCTGGCTATGGGGATGAAAAGGGAAGGTGAGAGCCGCTCCGCCTTGACTGGCTTCAGCAGTGTTGGCAAGGAGACCGCAGTAACTAGGAAACAGAGATACGGGAATCCCCAAGCAATGGAGATAAGGAGGCATATAAGTGTGACGGTGTAAATCACATTTAGGATGTACTAATGAGAACACTGCCACAATGTCATTTCAGGTTGGTTAGTTATCCTTAATTGACAAAGAAACTAAACAGTCCAGGTTCAGGTTTTAGTGTGCCAATTGTATAATGTTAACACCTGCGTAGTATCTGATATTACAGAAGCTTTTATTCCACTAATTACTAATAATATTGCTTGGCTTGGTTGTTTATTAATTATTTATCCTTGGTAGACAAGTATTTAGGGATAGGTTTTGGGGTAGGATACAAGTTAGTTGGATTAAAAAATTTACGAGTTTTTATTTATTTATTTTATTTTCATTAGAATCTCATTTTACAAGCTAATGTTAAACTAGGCAGACGTTCTCTTGGAGACCTTTAGTGCATCAGTCCTTATTTGATGCCCATTTTCAGAATTCTGTTGTCAAGTTTAGTCATTGTTTTTTTTTCCTTCAATGGGGTCAAACTGTGCGGATTAATTGACAAAGGCTTTGGTGAAGACACGTTTATGTCTATTTATGTCTACGCTATCTGCTGTAAAAAAGCCATTTGTTTCATGTTGTCCACTTTTCATGTGGATTCAGGAATGTGACTGCAGGTGGTGTTTTGTGTCTTCAGCAGTACAAGAGGAGAGACAGAGAGGAAAAGACAGGAGTGAAAGTGAGGTGGAATCCTCCTGTGGCTTCAACGAGGACATGCCTGTGGAGAAGGTCCTGGCTGCGGAGCTAGCTGTGGAGTCAGAAGCAGAATGCTGTGTGGAGGGTAGCCCTGGCAACTCGGTAAACTGCCCATGGCGTCGTTTTCACTGACAGCCTTATTAATGTCTCGGCATCACCTATATAACTACCCTAACAGTCAGTGTTAACTGAAACATAATAGAAAACCAGTGCTGATGTTCTGAAAACCGTGTACTTGCTACAAAATGACACTTGTTTTTATATTATGACTAAGTCAATTATTCGGGTCATATTTCTGATGGACATGATTCTGGTTCCGGGTGTATGGTTATAACTGATGGCATATTTCATATATATAAATGTGTGTGTGTATGTGTGTGTGTGTGTGTGTGTGTGTGTGTGTGCCCCCTGCCTCGTGCCCTGTGCTTCCTGGGATAGGCTCCAAGCTCACCACGACCCTGTACTGGACCAGCAGTTAAGGAAGATGGATGGTTTCCTCATTTTGCCTCTCTTTGTCTTGGGCAGTCCAATGACCCTGTTACCAACATTTGCCAGGCAGCAGACAAGCAGCTCTTCACGCTGGTGGAGTGGGCGAAGCGAATTCCGCACTTCTCTGAGCTACAGCTGGACGATCAAGTCATTCTCCTCCGAGCAGGTAGGTAATCGAATGAGCCCTTTATTTCTTTGTCAGCGAACCATGGACTACTTCACAAAAATTGCCTACTATATAAAACATAAAAATATGCTCTTCAGTTCATTGATTCAGGTATCACATTGTGAGGGTAGCCTTGGGTTTTTTGTGTGGATATAGCTCCCTCTGCTGGTGAAGATGGATAACTCAGTATGTGCTTTTGTGGCTTTTCTTGCTAGTACACAATTTGGTACTTGATGCTTAGGACAGCATTCAGTTTTCTGAATGCACAGTGAAGCCATTCATTTCAGGTGGAGTATTAATATGAGCACTTTAATTTCGAGTTTTAAGTTAACCCTTAGCCCTTGTTATTTTCCCATGAAGTTGTTCTTTTACTATACATCAGCTTTCCAGTTTTTATATCCTTCACTGTCCTGCAGGGGGCGCCCTATGCTGCTGCAGTGCTTTAGCCATAGCATAGCATCAGTTGATTCCATATGCCAGGGGCAGGACCCAAAACTAGCCACAGCTGGCTTGGACTGACCTCAGCTGTGCTTATTTGTCCTCTAGGTTGGAATGAGCTGCTCATAGCCTCCTTCTCTCACCGCTCCGTCAGTGTGAAGGATGGCATCCTGCTGGCCACTGGCTTGCATGTGCACCGTAACAGTGCCCACAGTGCCGGGGTGGGCTCCATCTTTGACAGGTGTGTGTATGGCCTCCGCACAGTGTAGAAGCTCATTACAAAGGTCATGAGAAGAACAGAATATTAGGACTGGGAGGAGGCCCTGGGACAGACTCAAGAATGGCTGGAGGGATTATATCTCCTAGCAGGCTTGGGCTGGTTTGCAATTTCCCAAAGGGGAGCTGGAGCTCATGGCTGGACATGGAAAAGTCTGGGTTTGCTGGGTTTGTTCCATTCTGGTAATTACAAGCATAGTGAAAATGGAAAATTTGCATGGATAATACGATACAGTCAGTCCTTCTACAACGACTAAAGTGTTACTGGAAAACCTTTCATTCACCAAAATCACATACTAAAATACACATATCCTCTGGGAAAATTATGGCTAAGGGAATGTGACTCCAAAACTTAGCAAGTTGCGGCAAACAAAATTAAATAATAAAAATAGTGATACCAGTGGCCAATAATGTAATTATATGCATTTTAAATAAATAATAATGATACATTAATTATATCATAAATATCCCCTCTGGTCTTAAGAGTCTCACAAGAAGTGTTTATTAACCACTTCAGCCCAACGTGCCTAAGTCACTAACTTGTCGATTGCTGAGAGTCAAGAGGACTGATGGCCAATAAGACGCTTCATGAACCATTTACTGTATTTTCTGACCCTACTAGATGGTGATCTTAGTTTACTGTGGGGCTTCCTTTGAGCCCTTTTTTGAACAGAGAGCACCATCTAGTGGCGTCAGAAAGTACAGTAAATGGTTCATGAAATGTTGCTTTAGCTATCATTAGTCAGGAGTAGTGAGCCACAGCTGCCATACATCCAGGCATGCACACAGCACAAATACGGTGGATTACGGTATATGGAGGGGCACTGAAGGCAACATGGATGCAGTGTACAGAAAGCAAATGTAAGTGAATTTTAAAAAGTTGCCCTGTTTTTATATGATAATTGGTCAAATACTCTTAGATTTTTATAATCTAAGACTTTGACCTGTGCAGTGCTTGGATGTACAAAAAGTTTGATTCTTTTAGATATGAAAACTGGTTCAACCGATTCACTGAAAATAACCAGTTCAAAGGAAAGATTTGTTTATGAATCTGACATCACTTGTTCACCAGGATAGCTGTTTTTGCATGCAAGGAGTGTTTCTCGCTAAAACCTGTATCGCTTTGTAGTTCACTTGGTGCTTTTCTCTCCGACTGAAAACATTGCAAATACAAATGCGATCCTGCATTGTATTGGACTTGGGTAGTAATATGTAAGTCGCAATAGAACAGATTTGTGGTGTGATATCACGCATTGTAACAGGACTGACTGTAACTGGTTCCTGCATTCAAAGTAAAAGTGAAAGATTATCACCTTTATAACCTCCCTCCCACCAGTTTCCTGCTCCTTACTTGCAGCATGTCTTCTTTTTTGATGTAAACATGGAATTAGGGGTGGGTGATATGACCTCAAATTATTATCCCACCCCTACATGGATTACATATCAACAGGGAATCTTTTAAATGCAGTGCTCCTCAAAATTGCTCCTCAAACATGGGCTTTGTGTCTCTGTTATATTGTAAACAAGAACATTGTTTTTGAAATAACCAGACATTGTTTTAGTTTTGGACTACAGAGCCAAGAGAACTCAACCTGTTTTTGTGTAAAGCAGTCAGGGCAGCCTGTGGAAATTCACATCCTCCTTTGCACATGAACATTGTTTTGGTCATTACTGTCAAACACCCAATACAATAGAACATAAACAGATTTCATACATTTCCTGCAGAGTTCTCACAGAACTGGTGTCCAAGATGAAAGACATGCAGATGGACAAGTCAGAGCTGGGATGCCTGCGAGCTATCATCCTCTTCAACCCAGGTCATCACCATGTATACAGGTTTCTCTATGGAAGGCATGTCATAAAATGCCAATTAGTACACTCTTAAACGAAATACTAGTGGTTTCTTATATTAATTGTGTTTTTGGTTTTGAGTTTAACCCAAGCTGAAATGAGCATTAAAAACTTTCCAAGTCTTACATGTGTCCAGCCGTCCCAAGTCACCAATGGCTACTGGTTAAACAATCTGCTGAAATGATGTCACATGAATGTGCTCGGCTTGCAGATGCGAAGGGGCTGTCCAACCCAGCTGAGGTCGAGGGTCTGAGAGAGAAGGTGTATGCATCCTTGGAGTCCTACACCAAGCAGAAATACCCGGAGCAACCTGGTCGGTACGTGTCCCGTGGCATCATCTTCCTTCCCAGCGGCAGTGTTGGGAAGGTTACTTTTGAAATGTAATAGGTTACAGGCTACTAATTACTCAGTTAAAAATGCAAAAAGTAAACTATTTTGAATACTTAATCAAAGTAATGTAACTTACTAAATTTGATTGCTTTCTGATTACTTTTGTAACAAATGTTGTAAACCGGGCAATAAATCTGAAAAGTCCCAATGGCTTTGCTGAGCCGTGCCGTCTGGGAATCTGCCAGAACAAGGCATTTCTGCACGGTGAAAAGATGCACAGCAAAAAATTAATGCTGTATTCTACATATAAGTTTTTTTATTGAAAAGAATACATTCAGATGTAACCCCTTTGTAATCACCAACATTTGTATCTGTAATTTACTTACATATTTTCTCTGAGTAATAGATTACAGTTACATTTATTATGACCAGGTATCCTCCATTTAACATCCATTCACATTAAGGGCAGGTGGCAGGTAGAGAGCTGGCAGAGAGCGGGCAGGCGGTAGGTAGAGAGCGGGCAGAGAGCGGGCAGGCGGTAGGTAGAGAGCGGGCAGAGAGCGGGCAGGCGGTAGGTAGA